TTTCTACTTATGTGCATTTTATTACAAAAAAAATCAACTTATTACATTGATGATAATGAAGGAGATGATAATGAAAATTGATCAAAAAGTCTTTTTTACTTAATTTTGAGCACCACATCGGCGGCGCCGTACTTGTCCTTGTTCTCCTCAAACAGCTGCACCACGGCGTCAATGTACGTCTGGTGAAGGGCGTCAATTTGCTCCTGCGTTGGATTGGGCGTCGCCTCGGTGTCGATTGGTTTGCCCACTAATTTTAAAAGTCATAAAATTAAATTAAAACTAAAGATTAAAAAAAAGTTATACAACGTACCAACAGTGGTGATCGGCTTTCGGAAGGGCACAATGCCAAAGGAGTACTGAAACAGTCCTCGACCTAGGCAAAAGAAAATTGTTAAGTAATTAAAATTTGATGTTTTGGAAATAAATTATTAGAAAAGCATTACCATAAAACGCCGGAATCGGAAAGCCGATCGCCTTGATGATCTTCTCCTGAATTCGATTGTACAGCGACTCCTCCTCGTGCATTGTCGTAAAGAGGTCGTTTTCACCAAAGGAGATGACCGGAACTAGGCTGGCACTAAATAAAATAAACAAAAATAAAAAATTAAATGACAAACTTTTTATCAACAAAAAGAATCCTTACCCATGCTTCAGCGCCAGTCGTACAAAACCCTTTCGTTTTTTCAGCGTCAAGTTCATCTTATTGGGAATGGTGTCCAGCACCTCAAGGGCGCCGCCCACTACAATGGCGGCTGCGTTTCCTTTTCCTTTTTTGCTGTTTNCGTACAAAACCCTTTCGTTTTTTCAGCGTCAAGTTCATCTTATTGGGAATGGTGTCCAGCACCTCAAGGGCGCCGCCCACTACAATGGCGGCTGCGTTTCCTTTTCCTTTTTTGCTGTTTAGAAAAAAATGTGGGAAAATTGTTAGAAAAAACTCCTAAAATAGAGCTCAATTTTACCTAATAATGTACTCGATACTTTCTCGAGACGCTGAACAAGCACCGGAAAGGAGAAAGATCTCTCGGTGAAATGGAAGATAAAATTGGTAATTGAGGGTGATTAGGTGAGGGATGATGTTTGGGAAAAGCTTCGAGAAGCCCGTTCCCTCGGTGGCAAAATTGGCAAAGTGGCTGAAGCAAAGGAGACCATGAGGATGCAGGCCAAAGATGTAGTTTTTCTCCGGCGATAGCTCAGCTGTTTTGACCAACTTTACAGGAAAGAAGTTGGCAAAGTGCTTCCAGCCAACAAAGTTGCGCATCCAAGAACTTCGGCGACCACCTATTAAGTTAGTGAAAAGTTAGTTTTTTTAAAAATGTTTTTAAAAAGTTTTAGAGCTGACCTTTAAAAGGAACACCCAGGTCATAGGCGAACCAGGCAATGTACAGAAGAGAAAAGTAGTAAAATCGAGTGTAGAAGAGCGTGTAGGCGAGGATGCCGG